CGCACAATTCGTGGATACATAAAAACAACGTTGTTTGAATTTCAAGAAATGATTCGTGTATTTTTTCTTTTATACATATAAAAATATATCAATATAAGTATATAAACGTTTTTTTTTTATTACTCCCCATTCATCTTCGTTTGAAGTATAAATAAAAGACTTATAAATGTACGATACATGAAATGAAAAATAATAGTAATATATATAATAATTGGTACTACAAAAGTATATTAGTAATACACATATAAATGTAAAAAAAAATATACATAAAGTGAAACTTAAAGTAATACACACAATAGTATAATACGCAAAAATAATAGTAAAAAATAATACGTATAAATGTAAAAAACATACATAAAGTGAAACTTAAGGTAATACACAATAGTAATACATGAAGCATAATACGTAAAAATAATAGTAATACATAATAGCAACATATACTACATATAATACATATAATACATATATTACAAAGGTATTCGCCAATGTCCCCAAATACTCTGTAGAGTCGGGTACAACGTATCGTTTGTCGTCGTATGGACTCAGAGCGATTTTCGATTCGGATATCGTGTATACCTCGTGTAACTTAGAGCGTATACACTATTGACGACGAGTCATTTCTATCTCTTCGTTCAAATACCGCGTGTAATCGTTGAACGTTATCGTTCGCGCTACGACGTTACTCTTTACACCTTTCACCTTTTTAGTGTCCTTCTTGCCGTCCACCCGCACCGCGTACATTTTCGCTCTGAGTCCAACGAATTCGGTCATTATCATACCGTTGTTCTCATCCTTCATCAGACCTGGTTTTTTTTTGTTCGCGAGAGGCATACCGTACACGTTGTCCGCCGGATAATCGCTCGTGTCGAATCTTGCGATATCGCGTTTCATAGTCTCGTAAACGTCCTCGCATTCTATACGGTATATAAGACTGTCCGTGTCTGTGTACATGATCTTACAATTGACTTGAAACATCGGTGACATGTACTCGCAGTGAAATTTGTACAAGCAGACTTTCGATATGTCGAGTATACACATACCCACGTAAATCGGCTTGTCGAACTTCATCTCGAGTTTGCGCAGTTCGACGGCGATCAAATTTTCCGCAAAGACGCTGCGGCTGTGGAAATTCGGTTTCGCGATCATTGCCTCCGCACCATATCGTCCGTCCCATTTTGTTAATAATTTTACGTCAACGTGATTTCGAACATTCTCCATGGTCTTGCCGAATACCGCGTTGTTCATTAGTTTATACAAATTTTTTTCGAAATCGTTTTTTGCGTGCATTCTAAACTGTGTAATCAGTTCGATGTAATCGCGGAGCCATGGAGATTGAGCGAATTGTAGCACCCGGTGAATCTTTGTTACGCGAAGACCGTGACGAGTACATTGCTGTAGGTTGCGGTAGTGGATGACGTAACGCTGCTTATCGTACAACGTCGCTAGAAGTTTATCTTCGCGCCGGGCGGCTTATCGCGCATCGGACAGAACGGTAGGTCAGTGTGTCGGTCGTGCAGACGCTGTGGATACTCGAGATCGACCTCGAGAATATAACCGGTAGACGAATCTGGAGCGATCGCGCTCGCGTCAAAGTTCGCGGCGTCTTCGACCCATCGAAATTCGGCGTACGGCAATGGTTGACACATTTCCCATCCGTACAGATTATTCACGTCGTAGTACATAAGGTATGACGACGGTTTCGATGAGTCGTACGAACGCATGTACTTGTTATTAGCCTGCGCGTATCTGCCGGAACATTGACTGAGGCCACCGCATATGCCACGCTCGATAAACATGACCATATCGATGTTGGTGAGCAACTCGAATTTTATACGCGTATGTTTCAACATAGCGTCCCACGTGAAACCTGGCAGTGTACAATAATGCGCGGGATCGAGGATGTAACTCGCGACGCAATTATTGCGGAAATTTTCAAATATGTCGGCTAATAACAATACATCGGTTTTTAAGTACAGATCGCTGTACTCGCCGAGCGTTCGGATGGAGAATCGCTGCCATACGTTCACGGCGTGAGCGTAATCGCTCTCGGATACTGTATCACCTGTCAATGAACTGAAAAATAATTCTCGCGACGGTAAGCGCGTGTCTTGCAATTTTTCAACACTGTCAATGTACTCGTACGGAAAGATACCTTTACGAGTCAGCAATTCAAATTTTTCATCCGAGCTGTCGCGCGAACCATGCTACGCAATCTTCGTCGCGACAAAACTGATACGACGACAACGAATTGTCATACGAGCAGTGCACGTAGTATCCTATGCTGAATACTTCATGACGCTGATACGCGTACGATGTTGGCACGTCTACCTTGTCAGGCTCCGTTTTCTGCAGGACACACTCCAGGTCGGCGTAGACGACGAACGGTACTCGTTCCTGGTTGCGGTGGTTGCTGAATTCGAGCCATCTATCGTTCTCGCTCGGCAGGCGGATGGCGCAGTCGTTCAGTTTTTGGCAGTCCACTTCGTGCGTCTGCAATTTCTCGCTCGAGCCGAAGTAATGCAGGCATCTGTAAATAGAGAAATTATTTTTTTATTTCTTATATTTTTTTCATATTATGTTTACTTTTCTTATTATACTTATCGATCGCAGAAGTATTTCTTGTTTTTTTTCCTGGTAAGTTGCATGCTCACTAGACGGGCTAGATCTTTTATCCATGCAAAGTGACCTACACCGTCGTCGCGTGGATCTTGCAGGTACAGGAGATTGACGTGCTTCTCCTTCTTGTCGCCTGTGAGTCGTAGAGGAAGGATCTGCTTATTCTCGATGCCGTACACGTTGATCGACACAGCGTTTAAACGTTCGAATTTCGGAATGTCTTTTAATGTCACCGGAAACTCGATACCCGCAAAATTTAGCACAGTAGTGTAATGTGGGTATAATGACTCTCGCTCTGCATGTCTTTCTGCGGGGTACAGAGCGGCGACCACCGACCACGCGAAGCACGCATTGTCCATGGATTTCACACTGACGACCGCTCGTTTCATCGCAATTTCCCGCGGCACCTCGAAGTGACATCCCGCGCGCATGGGATTCAGTTTGTTCACATTCACTACCAAATTGAGGATTCGCGACACCGCCCACCCACCGTCGCGTTCCTGAAACTCTTCGAGCGATGTCAAGATAGACTCAACGACGTTTCGTTCGTACCACTCGCGTATATCGGTGCATCTATACATATATCTCGCTATTCTTAGTGTTTATACTCTTAATGGCACGTTTATCTTTCGTCGCGAACTCGCCGTTGAACGCTGTGTTCACTTTCACACTGCCGTGTCTTTCTACAGCGTCTCGAACTTGCCCGAGCACTATTTCTCTCGCGTCTTCCAAAACCGCCGCGGCTCATTGTGATTAAAGTTTATCACCGCACCCGTCACTATACGGCTCTCGAACGCGGCTTCGATCTCTCGCCATACGAGAGATTGCTCGTTGCCACTCGCGTGCCCTCCACCACTCGCGTACTCGCCATCAACGTGCACGAAACGTCGCTCCAATTGCGACTTTGCACCCGCAAGTCGCGCGATTCTCGCCACCACGGATTGTCTATGTCCAACGGCGAGGCGCGGACGCTTGGCACGACAAAGTTCTTCGAGCCGCTCGATGCACTCGTCGCATCGTTGCAACTACGCGAAACACTCCGCCAGAGTGGCGATCTGATCGCACTGCTCCAGCAGTTCGCGTTCCACTTGCTCGTAATTTTCCATGTCTTTTTAACAGACTTTAGATCACGTTGCACTCTTCCACGGAGCACTTGCACTCTTACACGGAGCATTGAATAGTTTTTCAATGTGTGCAGAGTGGGCACACGCTGCGTGGAAATACAGTGTACATCGTCTCTTCGCATATCGAGCACTCGGTGCGTTGTGTACAGTAAGACCAGTCTTGGTGCGTCCTGACGAGGTACATTCCTTCATCGCCAATATTCCGCATAGAAATCTCGCCTTGGAGTTTCCTGATGAGATACATTCCTTCATCGCTGATATTCCGCAAAGAATTCTTCCAATACTTGTAATTCGGCGGAGAAACCATGCAATGTGTACATATTGCTACATCGGCGTCGTCACCACCTCTTGTTCTGTAATAACAATTGATTATGCAGTGATCTGTATAAATGTTCAATGCTTCGATTTCCGAAGGCTGCACAAATTTCACTACACGATCTATATTGCCGTCGCTCAAACCAACAAGATATTCAGTATCGTTGGACGACTTTTCAATAATAATAGTTTTTTCATATGTGCAGAGTGGACACACGTTGCATGGATATACAGTGTACATCTTTTCTCCGCATTCATGGCACGACCACCTGAAGTCTAGTGCATAGAAACAACATTCTTTGTGATTCATGACGCGATACATTCCTTTATCGGCAATATTCCGCAATTCAATCATGCACATTGCACAATAGATAGTAGCATCATTGCACTCTGTATAATAACAGCTGATTATACAGTGCTTAGTACGGCTGGTCAATGCACGGATTTTCGAAGATTGCACAAATTTCTCAGCATGATCTGCATTGTTGTCACTCACATCAGCACTACACTCGGTATCGTCCACCATGTCCTCAAATTCTACTTCCAGTGCTTCGAATAACTTGTCTGTATTCACACCATTCATGTCCTCAACGTTCGCACGATGATCAACCACACTTTTCACATTCATTTTTTATACACAATATTGTTCACATTACTGTTCACAATAGTTTTTTTTTAATTTGTACACTGTGGACACTTGTTGCACGGAAATATATTGTACAATGCTACTCTGCAAGATCGACCATTTAATGCATCAATATAATTGATACTATGCTTCTTTATATAATGCATTCCCACTGTGTCAATGTTAGCTAAAAGCACCATGCATGCAGCACATACGGTTAAAGGACCGCCCGTTGTGTAGCAGGACTGAATCATGCAGTATTTGGTACGATCGTTTAGTGCATGGATTTCCGCAGCTGGTATAAATTTTTCTTCAATATCTGTTTCGTATTCGCTCGCGTCACTGGCAAAACCGGTGTCGTCGGATAACACGGATTCTTCGTCGGATGAATCTTGGTCCATTATCTCCGCAAAATCTACTTCCATTCCTTCAAGAACTTCGAACACTTCGTCTCTGATATTCGCGAATTGTTCCTCATCCACGTTTCTAATAAACTCGACTATGTCCTCAATGTTTCCGATATTTTCAAACACTACATCGTCCACATCCACGTCCTCGTCAACATTCACAAGATGATCTACCATACTTTTTGCATTGCACTTAACGATTGATCGGTGATTATACAGGGCATTGAGGTACCGCACGCTGACGACCCATTATATATTCCATTTGACACTTCTTTGTCCCTTTGTCTACCCTCTATTGGGTCGCAGCATC